GCTTTCACCTGCCTGTGTCTGCTTGTGTCCCTCCGTCTCTCCCCAGGCTGCTGATCGTCTACCCCTGGACCCAGAGGTTCTTCGCTTCCTTTGGGAACCTCTCCAGCCCCACCGCCATCATCGGCAACCCCATGGTCCGTGCCCATGGCAAGAAAGTGCTCACCTCCTTCGGGGAAGCCGTCAAGAACCTTGACAACATCAAGAACACCTTCGCCCAGCTGTCCGAGCTGCACTGCGACAAGCTGCACGTGGACCCCGAGAACTTCAGGGTGAGACGTGCTCCCGATCGGGGACCCCTTCTCACCACCCCGTCTCTGCGGGCAGTTTCTCCCCTAAGCCTGAGCCTCGCCAAGCGAGGGATTTACCGTAGACCTGCCGATGCAGGAGGAAGAGGGGCTGGTGGCTGAGGCGAGGGGTTGGTTTCAGTGCGGAAAGGGAGGGGGAGAGTAAAGCGAAAGCGGTTGTTGAGCAGGAAAAGGTTTGAGCCAAGGGGAAGGCGAAGGAGCAAGAGCGAAGCTTGGCACGGAGGAGAAAGGAGGCATTGGTGAGGAGAGAGAGAGGGCAGCTAGGAGCCAAAAGAAAAAGAGGAATGGGACCTAGAGGGAGAGAAAACTTTGGCACCCGCATCTCTGCAGCTGAGAGTTTCCCAATGGGGAAGTAATCCCGGCATTTGTCACCGGGGCTGGCAGAGATCCCCCCCGCGTCAGCATGAGCTCGTTGTTCATGCCAGGGCGCTTTGCAGCGCCGAGTGCCGGCTCCCTGCCGCGCGGCAGATGCTCAGCTGTGTCTTCTGCTTGGGAGAATCTCCCAAACGAAGCCAGAAGGGATAAAGAAAAATTTAATCAACAAAATTTCTGGAGAATTTTTGGTTACTCTTCCCATAGCAGTAGCAGAACCTGAATCTTAAGTAAGAGCAGAGAACAAGTTTAAGGTACATCTTAAAAAGGACTCCAGGGAGATGTTTAAACCTACAAAATGCCCAGAGGTTTCCCTGGGTCTAATGCGAGTGCTTGCATGGGGAACTGCAGGCTCCTGGGCACTGCTAACCTGAGGGTTCTTTTGTCCCCCCAGCTCCTGGGTGACATCCTGATCATCGTCCTGGCTGCCCACTTCACCAAGGATTTCTCTCCCGAATGCCAGGCTGCCTGGCAAAAGCTGGTCCGTGTGGTGGCCCACGCTCTGGCCCGCAAGTACCACTAAAGCGTCAGCACGAAGTCCCCTGGCAGCATCCTCCAGCTGCGTGTCGTGCACCGGCTGACGTGCTGCCCTGGATCTGACAGCTTTTAACAGCCAAATAAAGCTCATCCTGTGAAGGCTCCGCTGAGTCTGTGTGTCCCTGGGAGGCTGGAGGGGTCGGGGGGGGACGGTGACCTGGGGTACCCGCAGGCGGGCTGGGGTGTAAGCTTGAGCAGGGCGGGCATTTTGCTCCCAGAAAATACCACCTTCCTTTGTTCTGTATGTTTGTGGAGGGGCTGTGTGGGATTTGCCTCTGGAAATCATAGAGAGCGTTGGGTAGGTACAGCCCTGCTACCCCTGCGGTCATAAGCTGGGAATTTACATTTAGGAACAAGTTGGTATTTTACCATGAAACCTGCCTGTTTTCTTGCGGGCAAGGGGAACTGTGAGGATTCATATTTTTTAGGGAGGATAAACAAAGCGAAGACTTTAATCTACCCTGGCTCATTCCTGGCATAAAGCCTACAAGAAATTAGCTGACTCATACTGGCCAAGCAGCCAGCTGGGTGGGGGTAGGTTTTAGATAAACATTTTGCTATCAAGACCTCTCCAGGCTCTGTTTATGCACTTCTTTTTCACCCTGTGCCGCCCATTCTGCAGTTATGGGGGGCCCAATCCTGCTAATAGTGGTGACTATTAATAATTTTCTGGATGTGACTATCAATTGATGCTCTGTGCACACGGAGCGTTCTGGGTGCTCCAGTGCCTGCAGAGCAGGACTCTCCAGGGTAGAGTTTGTTCTTGGCATGGGAAGCACCGTCTGCCCCGTCTGAACTGAGCATGACCCATAAAAGCGATGGTTAGCTGAAAGGACATTTTTAAAGGGAAAAAAGAGGGCATAGCTATATATCCCAGTGGCTCTGAGACACTGCACTGTTTCCTATCCCTGCTTCGTTCACATTTGTGGGCATCCCGCTCTCTGCCCTTGACCCACTGGAGGGTATTAAAAGCCCTCTGTGACTCATAAATGCCCCTTCTCACACAAAAACCCAGATTCTTACATGATTTTTCATAGGTTTCATGACAGATATTCATAGACTTTCGTATGAACATGATTGTTCAGAGATGTCAGGCAGAAATGACTGAATTATTTGAACAAACATGTCTCCTCCTGCAAGCAAGGTGTCTGGGGGTAGAAATGAGCCAAGCAGACCTCTCAGGTTAGACCCTACAGGTCCCTACAGCAGGGGCGGGCTGGGCTTTTCCCGCTGCTGGAGTTCCTGCTGGGATACCCCTCCCTGGGAGCAGGGACGAGGGTCTCCATCCCCTGCACCCGGCAGCATGGCAGGATGGGTACGGTGCCCACTGGCGCTGCCTGTGGCTACGCTCCCCATCCCCAGCCCCGGCTGGGGGATGACATCCCAGTCCCTGTCCCCCCAGCAAACAGATCCTACGGGATGTACTCTTCCCATGCTACTTTACCTGCTCCTGTTTTGTCTCCTGTGTGAATGCAGAAAACCGCTGTGG